CCTGTGCTTCTCCTCCCTGGACTGTAACCTATGCTCACTGCCCCTTGTTCATTCTGTGGCGTTTACAGGAGACCCCCACTACCTAAGTAGTCCTCTAGTGGCGTGGGTGGGGGAGGGGGATCCAGGCAGCTTTTTTATTTTTTTTAATTTTTATTTATTTATTTTTTCCCCCAAAGCCCCAGTAGATAGTTGTATGTCATAGCTGCACATTCTTCTAGTTGCTGTATGTGGGACGCGGCCTCAGCATGGCCGGAGAAGCGGTGCGTCGGTGCGTGCCTGGGACCCGAACCCCGGGCCGCCAATAGCGGAGCACGCGCACTTAACCGCTAAGCCACGGGGCCAGCCCCAGGCAGCTTCTTAAAGGAGAGAAGCCAGGGATAGCCTGGCTCAGGAGGAATGGTACCATGGAGAGGGCTATTTCTTGGAGGTGTCATTGTCCCAGAAAAATGGCCAGGCAGGTGAGCTTGGTGCCAGGACCTGAGACTGAAGGAGTTAACTCCATGCTCGGCTGGATGTTCTCAGCCTGGCCCTGACCATTTCTAATCCAGGCTGAAAACACCGCCAGGGAACTTTACCCGATTCTCGGTGCTCCTTCTCTTCCTTTCATCTCAGCATCTACAGAATTTCTTTGTGAAATTCTATGTTGATTTTCAAGTGTTCTTAAGTTGCTGGGCTTGGGTTTGCTCTCTTATACTTGACTAGACTTTTCATCTTTCAGGTTGGCAGCCAGTTCATGCTGTGCTGCCCATTCTTTTCCTATCCTCTAAGGCATCATTTTTTTGCCCATAGGGGGAACTCACAGAGATTAGCGAATAATGTTGACGTGTGTTCTTGGGCCCTAAACTGGGATTTGGGGCAATTGGTCAATGGCCAAGTATTTCTTTTGCTCTCTCTGCTTTGTTCCACATCGTTCTTCCTTGGGTGTGGCGTGGTGCATCCTCCTGTGATGACACCCCTTCCATCCCCCCACCCCACTCCCAGCCCCATCCATTCCTCTCTGCCTACTCCCCTCCTGCGCCCTCCACCCCCACCCCCAATTGGAAAGAATGCTCAAAACAGCAGTTCCTGTCCTAAGACCTTGTTGACTCATTGGTTCACACATCCCTTGAGGTTAAGGAGACCAAGATGTGTTTCTAGATTTCATACTATTTCCTTCTATCTCCTTCTGGGATGCAGGCGACAGGAGCAAGTATCAAGAGTGATGGTGACACAGCCACAAAAAGCTTAGTTAAGGAAATCAGGGGATTGTTTCCCACAAGAATCTGCCTGTGGATAATCCAGAATCCAGACCTGACTGCTGACGCTCAAGGCTTACATATGAAGTTTTGGGTAATCTGTAGGTAAATCTCTGTATGACTCTTCTCTGTTTTGCCTTGAGCTGGGTGGGGGTTTTGTTAGCCAATCATCAGAAAACTCATCTTTTGGGATCTGTCCCAAAAGAGAGAAGGGCTGTCCCTTCTCTCTGCCTGTTCAGCACTGTAGCCCAGGTACATTCTCTCTCTGCTGCCAAGACTGGAAGTGTGGACACCTTGCAATAATCTTGGGATGATTGAGAAAAACTCACTTAAGTTCTGAAAACACTTCCTCACATGTTTTATCTATATCCCTCACAAGCCCTTCTGGGATGCAAACTCGGTTGTGCCAAGACCAAGCTAATCACCTCCAATACTTCCAGCCCAGGCTGAAGGCTGAAGGCTGGTTGGTTCTCCTGGGAATCACTGAGGGAGGTATGGCGGGAGCAAGCTGATAGTTTTGGAACCCATGGTGACATCACCAAATGGGGACAGCTTCATCAACTCCTGGAGAAGACAAGGGGTAGGAGAGGTTGGCTCTAGATGGTGATAAAGTAGTGATTCTCAGTGGGGGCAATTCCACCCCCAGCTCCCCCCCCCCCCGCCCCCAGGGAACACATAGCAATGTCTGGTGGCAACTGGAGGGGTGCTACAGGCATCTAGAGGTTGGAGGCCTGGTTGATACTAAACATCCTACAATGCACAGGACAGGCCCCACAA